AGAGTCTGCCAGAAGACTAAGGGAAGGGAACTGCTGTGCAGAGAGAACAACATGAAACTCACCAGGCTGTGTGACTGGAGCACAGTGATAGAGAAGTAGATATGAGAGATGTGAGCCAGTGGAAACGAGAAAATTCTGTTCTCTCACAGTCATTTCCACCACTTAAAAACAGATAAGTTCATCTTATGTTTTTCTAAACTCCTTTCTAACCATAAAATCCAGCTATTATTCTGTAACCCTTGAGGCAAGATCCTCTACAGAGCTTTGCTTTCATGAATTTTGAAATTCAAACTACAGTAGGATTCCCAGAACTTATTTGACCATCACATTTTAAGAGAAAAGTGGATAAATAGCATGTGCCCTAAAGGCCTCCTATGGTGACCAATTTTCCTAGTTGGCCCAGGATTGAGCAGTTTCTTAGGATGAAGAACTTTCAGTGTTCAAATCAGGACAGTCCCAGGAAAACTGTGTTGGGAAGGAACTCAGAGCCAAGTCATGCAAGCACTAGAATGCTTAGATTGCAGACATGTTCTCTCTGTATATCTGCAGACACTTATTTATTACAATAATCCTGGAAAGATGCTTAGACTTCACTATATTGCTTTTTTGTTTGTTTGATTCGGACAAAGCCCATGACCAACAATCCTACATTTTATTTCTGTGTGCCTAGGTTCTTCAAAGAAATTTGAAGAATCCTGACAGGTGACATGTTCTGAGTACTGTGATACAAAGCTATGTCACTAACTCCCTTTTAGTAGAAAATCTTCTCAAGTATATTTCCATTCACTCACAGAAACACACTCTCACACAGAGATACTCACACCCCTTTTTGCTTTGAAAAACTTTGTTTTTTCCTCTTGGAAACTTACAGATTGAGGCCCGACTTGCTACTGGTCCTCAGTAGGTAAGCCTTAGCATTCTGAATGGCAATCTCAAGCACGCTGGGGGCCACTTCTGAGGCCCCAGGCTCCAGCTGCAGAAGATCACAATTACTGTTTGAATCTTCCTCCTGAAAAATGTCAAATCTCAGCTCTTTTTGTTTAGAGGTATCATAGCTTGGGT